ATGGGGCGTGAAGAGAATAGAGATGTAAAACTCTAGGTTACGCGGACATAACCCTTATTTATACGATGTTGTCTTTGTAATTTAGCCCTCAATAAATCCACACGATTACAACCTGGTATCTGCCATATATACCCATGATTATATTTAAATACCACTTAACCAACTTAATTTGATCACTTTAGTGATTATCCTGAAAGCATAGCAATTACACATTTGATTTTAATCATATGTGCCCACAAATAGATTATTGATTAATCCAACAATCTGTCCCCTTGGGCACATATGATTCTTTAATTGTGTATATACCTTATGAGCGTCAAAAATTTGCTATCACTGCAAAATAGGTCATTTCTAACGAATCTTCGTCCATGTGACTTATCGAATATAGATATAAGCGGCTTTCGTCACATTTAATCGTGACTCGACCCATCAATGGTCAGCATATACCAATACACTCAAACGACTAGATCATCATGGATGTGCAGCATGAAAATTACATGCAATGTGATCATTACATGTCTATTTTCAACTGCGTCTCCTTAGTGTAGGTCAAACCAAACATTAATATAACATAGTGTCTTACTGAATATTTATTTTCTGATCAGCAAATACAACCAAACAAAAGCACCACAATTACAAACTCACACTAAACATAATCTATCCTCAAATATACCCACTCATGATGAGCAGTATGCTCATGGAAAGACGCTTAGGTGGCAGTCCCGGTGTGTAGAGGATTGCACAGCGTATTCGAATGCGAGTTTGTCCTAATGTGCTCCTATTAGATTAATTTGTCCACTCTGTACCCTTTTTCACAACAACCGGACTTAATGTCAATATGTTTTGACTTAGTTGAGCTCCTGTTGTTATTTGGAATACATTATGGCAGATTTATCTGTCACACACTTAGTGGCTTTCAACATTTTTCCAAATGCGCAGTCCGTGATAAAATTTAAACGAGCGCGCGAGCGCCATATTCCGTGATTTTGTGAGCTCATAGCAAGCTTACAATTCTGCCTTGCCATAAGTGGAGGAAGCTTACTAGTGTTTTGTTTCGACAAACTTTTCCATAATATAGCATCCTCCTGCTAACATATATAATTATAGCCTGATGTAGCGACTTTCGCTATCTTGGATCGCAGCAAACATCGATCCCGAATAAACCAATGCACCTCTAATTTTTTGATTTTCTGTATGTGAGCATTGCGTAATCTTTTGTTTTTCTGGAAGATACCTCATAAACCTTTTGATCTGGCTATCAATGATCCATACCAGAGTTCGCTTACGTATCTGCTTAACATCCAACAATGCCCTACGCAATATCGAGACGCGTACATAACCTGAGCATACATTAGATTCCTACAGCGAAGCATAAGGAATCTTCTGGCATTTTCCTGAAATTTCAAGGTTACCTTTAGGCCGCACTGATTGACGACTAATAACTTATTTCTTTAGGCAACAGCGGGCTGTCACCTTGTCGGCAATCTGCATGCCAACCTTTTAATGTGATTTATCGATATAGCTCTTTTGTGATAATCAAGAATACACCCCGAGAGCTGATCTCGATGTATTGATCTAAATAAAAGAGGCGTTCCCAAGATCTTTTCATCTTTAAAATTCTTTGATTAGAAATCTCTTGGTTTCGTGCAACATGCCCTATATCATTAGTAGGAAGCAAGATGTCATCGACATTACAGGAACCAAAAAATATACTTACTCCATGGAACGTTGTGGATATAAAGTCATCACACAATGCTTCATTCTCAAACCGAACGAGATAATTATTTGTTGAAACTTTATGATACATTGCGCGAGGAGCTTGCTTGAAGTCCATAGGATGGATTTTCTTAATTGAAACGCATATTCTTGGGTCTCCTGACAACAAAGTTTTAGCTGGTTGCACCATATAATCATCATCATCAATGTCTCCATTTGAGAAATGCCAGTCTTAACATCCATCTGATGTAACTCAGGTCATAATAGCAAACAGTGCATGATTATTTCTGAAAGAGTTTTCGATGAAACCGTCGCCCACAAAGATGTGTCTTTCAACATCACTTGCTTTCGGTAGCTCAGGCAACCCTGCCATAGAAAAATCTTATGTGAGTTAGGTAGCACCAGAGTCTAACACAAGTGTTTCTAGGTTTTTACTGAAGCCTTTAAATTAACCTCAGAAAGAAAGAAGGAACGTACCCTTATTATGCACGCCAGGCGTGATATTTTGGTAACATCTTCTTTATATGTCAGGTTTTAAGAAGAAACAACGCCTGATTATCTTTATGTTGTTTCTTCTCACTGACCCTTAGCAGTTCCTTATCATTCTTGCTTTTCTTGCCTATCGTCTTGATGCATAGGCCAAATGAGCACTTTTTCTGTCTTATTCTTGCTTAACCTGTCTTCTTCTTGCACACAGTATGAAATTGAGCTCATTTAGAGTCCATTTCTCATTTTGACAGTTATAGCTACCTTAAATTGCATTAAACTGCTGCTAGAGAGAGACAACAGAAACAGATGCATAATACTCATCACAAAGATCGAGTTTAGTGCCTTTAAGCTTTTTGAAAGAATAGAGACATTTCATAATGTACTCCCGATGATATTTCTTTGTCCTTATACTTTCTTGAAATCATAGCGAGCTAAAAGACCGTACGTGCTTGTTTCTACCTTTTATCGTTCTTTACCGCAAACGCTTACTCAATTTTCGGCAAGGAAAATTTTGGCCTTAGTGAATCATCGGATTCTATGCCTGAAGGGCTTCGGAATCGCGCGCGTAATGATCTAATGAAGACTCTGCCGATTGAACGCTCCACTTACTCCATGGCCTCCATTTTCTTTGCATCGAGATGTTTTTCCGCATTGAGAGGTTAGGGTTGTTCAGTTCTTATGCATGGTCAAGATTCCATACAAGCAGAACAATTAATATGTTGCTCTTTCTCAAACCTTGAAGTTTGTCCCATTTAGCATGCGCGAATTTGAGTGATGTTAGGCAAAAATTATTGCCCAAGCAAGTATGCATTAGCTGAATATAAAACAAAAACTGCTCACATCAATAACCATAATCAATAAAATTCAAATAATGACATCACCATCCAAGATATCGGGCACAACTATTAATATCAAGTCTTAGGACAGCTAATATTAACTTGTAAGTTGATTACCTTGTTGCAATGATCAAACATTGACAATAACTTCATGGTCAAATAATGAAACTATCTTTTTTGGATCGATTCATTCATTCACTATGTAAACCCTTATAAATACTTCTCTTTTCCGCTCTTTTGATTCTTGTTAATCTCTTTGAATTAATCATGGCTATATGGTTTTAGATCTCAAGTTTTAGTTTAGATATAACACTATGTACTAAAAAAAAGCTCATGGCGATAAAAAAATCGTGTATTTTGAAAATATCATCTCGTGACTTAGAAACAAATGACTTGTAACGCGTTCAAAAATCAACTTTCTTGAATCATATATGGAAAGTTTCTAAACGGCATGAATGTTGCTCCATTTAGATTGGATGATGCATGTATAACAATCAGTGATTTTTGTTTCGGTGAAACTAATTGATGAGGGTCTTCTTGAGACATGTTTGATTTTGAGAGGCCACCGACTTTTCCATTGGCGGGTCGTTGGGCCGAGCTTCCTCCTACAAGACTAATGAACGGTTTGAAGGCATCGGCGACGGCCGCTCGGGTGGCCCTTTGATGCTTAAGCCTGTAACTTGGAGAAGCAAAAAAAAAACACTAGAAACAAAATAGAAAAAAAAATCATTATAAAATATACCTCTATTTATACTACTCTAAGGTACCGTTTGGTAAAGGGTTAAGTGAGGGGTTACTTCTTAACCCGTCAAACATAAAAAATCTATACAAAGGTTAAAATGAGTTAACCCTCCATAATTTGCCAAACATAAAAAATATAGAAGGGTTAAGTTAACCCCTCTTGAGTTAACCCTCCATAATTTGCCAAACATAAAAAATATAGAAGGGTTAAGTTAACCCCTCTAGAGGGATTAAAATGAGTTAATAATTTGCCAAACATAAAAAATATAGAAGGGTTAAGTTAACCCCTCTAGAGGGATTAAAATGAGTTAACTCTTCTAATTATAAAAAAATATTCAAAATCATTGTTATTCCCAAACACTAAAGCTGATCACAATTGCTAAAATAAAACTTATTTAATGGGTTAATAATTTAGTCATTTAGATTAACGAATGAGCTAAGTACATTAATCTTTCTTTTTAACCCCCCTTCTTTAACCCTATGCTAAACGGAGGCT